GGCCGCCGATAGAGGCGTGTGGTTGGGGTTTCATCACTGACCTACATTTGGGTGTGTGTTAAATTTTTGTGAGCTCGGTTAAGAACCCCAGACCAAAACCTACATAGCGGCCATTTGTAGCTTGTAGCACACAAGAGGATTATCAGCAAAATAACAACCCCAGCCTCGGCCGAAACAAGAGGTTCTGAAGTGCGGGCGCCATGTGAACTGCTGTACAATACACAACTGGACGGACAAACCAGTACCTTTTTTTTATTTTTTCGCAACATCCAATTGGTCTGTGCAGCGGTTCGACATTCGAAACCGGATTGATTGGGTGCAGCCCCGAGTTACCCCTGCCCCCAGCCATATCAGAGCTTTTATCCCACCACCATCACCCACGTGGGCGATAGTATCATCTACAGAGGGCTGGAGCAAATGCGCACGCAGGGTTAAGGGTCTACGCCGCCGACCTGGTGAGCGGAGGGAGGCCACGGGCGTGTTTGATAGGGAAAATTTTGTAGTAGAAGGTTGCATAGAACACGTAGACTAATGTACCGAGAATGCTGCCGTGCACATTATGCTGCAACAACTTGTCGACACAACAGCGGCCGCTTCCTTGAATCAAGAGAAAATTGCCGAGCAGGAAGTCCAGGCGATGAACGCCAGTAGTGAGGCATTCAGTGTACCCCGTTGTTCCTGTCGAAGGGTAAGGAGAAGGATAATAAGGATCCAGTGGAGAAACGAGGGGTCATCATCTGGTGACCTTCAAGGAACGAAAAAACACAGATAGAGCAGCTCTCGCGCTTTGTCCGCGATGTTCGTTCAGCGAGTGCTCGTGAGGGAGAGAGAGACGACGCTGCCGTGGCCATGATCAAGCACAATGATAAACGGCGCCGTCCGTGCCATTACAATGTCAAAATGCGGCGCGAGCGAGGTCGCGCTAGCAGCCGCTGCACGCGCGAAGGCGAGAGCGACTAGACGGCGCAAGCGGCGGAGCCAGCCCACCAACCGATCGTTACCTGAAGCATGCGGGAACCAAATTTTGGTCTGCACACATACGACCGTCACTATGTTGATCTGCTGCCTCACACTGCTGTTAAGGCTGGTGCAAGGGTATTAGCTCAGACGTTGCCGGCATAGGTGTGTGGGACGGGGCTTCCGTCACTGCAATACTCTGTTCAGCGTCGCCAGGCACAGCGAGCGGAGATTCCGGCTTTCGATAACGTGTGTGGGAATTATACCGCCGAAAATTCTGCAGGGCAAAAAAGCGAAAATTATTCCGATTGTCACCGCACACGCACCCTGGTGCTCGTGCGCTCGCGGCACCTACCTGTCTGTGTATTTACACGTCATCCTACGATTGGGTGCAACTTGTTGACGCCACGCTCAGCAGAGAGACGCACACACATGCTCGTTGTCGCTCTATCCACACGTATAACAACAGTCGAACGCAGAATATTTTGGTTGATTGCTTTGTTTGTAGCATGCCTTACCCCTCTCACGTGGAACACACCAGCAACTTTTAGTAATTCATGGCAACTCACCCAAGGACTTGATAGCACTCTCCTTCTTTTCCACCTTGGGGTCGATGAACGTGAAACCATGCAGATTATAACAAAATACCCCCCCCCCCCCCCCCCCCCCCCCCCCCCCCCCCCNGTATAAGAGACAGGTGTTTGCCATCGGGATTGGGTTTTCGTCGCTTGGCAACGACGTTGTAAAACAAGCCAATTCACGTCGTGAACTCGGCAACCAGGTTACCGGGGGGGGGTTTTACCTCTGTTTTTTTTTACGGTAACCATATTGGTGGTCGAGTAGATCATGTTGTGCGGGGTCGAAAACCCTCACTCCTCGCAAAGCACCCTCGAGGCAGTTACACAAGCCAGTGCTTGCAACTGTCTCAGGAAGTGAAAGCGCCAGAAAATAAATTAAGTCATACGCAGCTGTCATCCGTACGCAAGGAAGTAAGCCTAAGATGCCGAACATCCTTAGCAGGTTGCAGCGCACCCTTCATGCCACTCGCCGAATATCTCACGGCGCTTCGCGCTTGGTGATGNCCCCCCCCCCCCCCCCCCCCCCTCTGTCTCTCGCCCAGCTTCTATTGATTTGTCTGTCCAAAGATTGGATATGTTCTCGGCTGCAGCCGAAGACGCCGGGGTCACCAACGCACACGCCAAGCATCAGCAGCATCAGCATCAGCAGCAGCAGCAGCAGCCATCGCCCGTAGCAACAGTTGACAGCGATCACACCGCAGGAGGGGGAGGAGGAGGCAGCAGCGGTGACTACGAGAACCCGCTCTCTCCCCCCGACGGCAACGACAGCATCAACGCCGCCGTCATAACGACGGTGGCCGAGTTCGCCCACCCGGGGCAGTACCTCTTCTTCGCCCTCGTCTCCAGGAGCTGGAAGGGCGCCTGGGACAGGAGCAATCGGGCCAAGGTCACCACCTACCTCCCACACCCCAGCTGCTCCGGAGGTGGGTGTGCCAGGAATGAATGCCACAGGTCCACCCGATAGAATCGATCACCTTTCTTTCTGTTGTGTAGAAACTCTCGTGTCTGACCACAGACAGATGCACGTTTTTGTTGCTTTCCTTTGTTCTCTCTCTCCCCTTGATTTTTGCGTCCCCGTTGTCTTCCAACGCAAGCCAAGCCAACGTACGCACACAGATCCCCCGAGGGGCACACGATCAACCCGATCGCACGCAAACTCAACAGAAGGGCACACGCGTCGGCATGAAGCCCGAATCTTTTTCTGCATGACGCCACGTGATAGCATCTGATAATACGCCAAATATCCATGGTCAAGCACGATCACATGTCTACCTCCAACTATTATAGGAAACAGATATAAAATTTCAGGTGCCGCTATCCTCTTGCCCGTCTGTTCTTTCCTCGTCGCTAGCCTCGACAGTTATCCATGGCCTCACATAAACACCGACCGAACCACGAAAGGGCGCGGCTGCGGGCTGGGATGCGGCGCAGTATTCACGCCGATAACGCGCACACACACACACATACACACACACACACACACACGGGTCAACCCGGCCCTGAAAGGTGGCCGTTTACACATACCCCACCTTCTGTAGGGATGCCAGGTCGACGGTCTGACGACCGCAGCATGCAAGGCTATGCGTACACCCCCCCCTCCCCCTGGCCCCCCCTGCCCCCCCGGTGTTTGCCATCGGGGTTGGGTTTTCGTCGCTTGGCAACGACGTTGTAAAACAAGCCCCCCTCCCGGTGTTTACCATCGGGGTTGGGTTTTCATCGCTTGGCAGCGATGTTGTATTATAACAAGCTGATCACTTCGTGAGCTCGGCAACCAGGTTACCGCTTCTTTTTTTTTTCCCCTTTTTTTTTTGCGGTATCCATGAATGGTTGTGCTGTCGGCGCGTGTGCTATGTTATCATGCTCGCGGGCTCTTGTCGAGAGCGTTTGTGCACAAAGGATTGACTCACGTTCCTTGATTATCAACGAGTGACAAGCATGAGCAGCAGGCAAGAAGGACCTGCTGCTGCACACACGTCTGCATATACCCAAACCTATCATATCTGCGTACCCCCTTGGATATCTCGGAGATCTGTATCCAGCCGAGTACATACACAAACAGCCCCCCTACTCGGTACGATATACGATCTACGAACCTTCCGTACATATCGCCAGGTAAAACGGCAACAAAACCAAAACATTCATCTTTCATATCCACAAATCATCTCAACTTCCCGATCTATTGAATATTCAAACTTCAAGTTACTATTCCTCCTTGATCCACTACTATGTATGTTGGAACTTCACTAGAGTCTCAACAATCATCCCTCTCGAGAAAATATCGTCACCAAATTCTCAAGCAGCCAAAAACCAAGAATCATCCTTAGAAAAATACTCCGCAAAGATCAACATTACATCAGAGTCACGTCATGAAGACTTTGGACGGACAACTCCGGAAAAGCGTGTCAACTATTACTTCGGACAAGATCCTCGCACAAAACCATGTTTCAGCTCATTGACCAATCTCAAGTAAGCTTCGGAAGCACATAGGCCTCAACCATGTCTTACCAAAAATATGCCAATTCCTTCCTTGAATAGAAAAACCAAAATACCAAATACGACAAAAGAGACAAAGGTTAAGAACCCGGCGCATATTTAAACGCCAGAGGAAACTTTCACCAATTAAGCCGTTTCTCAAACAACGAGATAACATCAATTTCTTAGCAGCCCCTGGCCACAATATCTCCCAAAACATAAAACTTAACAGCCCCTTGCTGCACTATCTCCCAGAACATGAAAAGCTTAACAGCCCTCCTGCTGCAATAACTCCCGAAACAGAAAATGCAAGCCATCCAGTATTTCGTCTGGATTGCAAGAAACAGAATACAAAACATATACCGATTGACATCTCCCCTTCGACATATCTCCGACCATGGAACTCAATCCGTCCTACAGCAATACATGCAAGGCACAACTCTCGAATACTAACAACGAGAAAGCAAACAAATATCATGAAGTTATCTCCGAAAGCCGCAGGTAAAACGCGGAATCGGAAACAAACAAGAAATTCTCCTCATTTTCCGCAGGTAAAACGGGGAAAACGTTTACAAAATGAACAAAAACCAAACCCGAACGTCTGCTAGAACGCTGCTTGTACTGCGACGAGGATCATGGCATCACAATCACATTCATCCCCCCCCATGATTTTCGACAGCAGTGCTAGCTGTGGTCCAACGATGTCAACTAAACCATTCGGCGTGCTGAGTTCTTAGATTATCCAAACTCAATGCCCAACATATGAAAATCACAATGTAACCAACCATGCGCATCGCAACTCTAAGTCTACGTCGACACAGTTCTCAAACTCATGGTTTTCGACAAACAAAACAAAACCAAACCTAGAAATAACCCAAACACAATAATTCTCACAAACGTGCCTGAACCGCGCGTAGATCCAGAGCTGCGTCGTTGCAACCATCGGTCATCCCCCACTGGAGCTCCCGATCACGAAGTCTCTTACTTCCTCCTCTGGAGATCCCGATCACCAAGTCTCTCACTTCATGCCGCACACTTCTGCCACGATCGATCCTCCCTTCCTGGCATTACCCCCCATCGTCCCGCACGACGTAGATGCCATTGCTCACGGTCGGATGGGCGCCGGGATGCCTTGCACCGGCGGACAACGCCCCGATGCCGCCGTCACCGCTGCCGTCGCTGCTGTTGCCACCTTCGTCGCCATGGCTCAACCAACAGCTATCCTCATCGCACTTGTCCTCTGGCTCTTGCGCTGCTGACGCTTTAGCCGCAATTGCCTGCGTCCCAACCGGCTCCCACACCGCCGCCGCGGGCAAGACTCTGCTGCCGGCGGTCGCCGCTCTCGCCGCCGGTGCTGCCGTCCATGCCGTTGCTCCCGCCGCGAGTGCCTGCGCCCCGGCCGTCTCCCCTGCCGCCGCCGCGGGGAAGATTCTGCTGCCGGGGGTCGCCGCTCTCGCCGCCGGTGCTGCCGTCGATGCCGCTGCTCCCGCCGCGAGCGCCTGCCCCCCGACCGTTCCCCCCGCCACCATAGTGGGGAAACCACCATCAACGGTCGCCGCTCCTGCCGCAGGTACTGTTCCCCATGCCACCGCGCCAGCTGCAAACACGGGGAGCAGCGCCTCCTGTCGATGCCTTTGCCTCCTCCAGCGTCGTCGCTTCCGCTGCTGGTGCGGCATAGCGTCGTTGCCATTCGCGTTGAGACCCTCTCCGTCACCGACGGGCACGTGCTGTTGCATGCGGTCGATTGTGCAACACATGCGGCGCCGATGGCCATACTCACCGCAGGCAGTGCAGTTGCCTTCAAAGCGTCGTGGCGCATTGCAGTCGCCAAGTGAGTGTCCATGCCTCCCGCAACTCACGCACTGATGAACGGCACCAATCAGAGCAACCTGCGGCGAAGCTGACTCCGCTTGCGGGCACACAGCGTTGCGCCCACAGTCATAGAGCCCCCCAGATCCCCACGTCGGGAAGTTAGGAGGTGGGTAATGTGCAGGTGGTGGCTGAGGACGAACCCACTGCTGCTGCTCCCGCTGTTGCCGCCACCGCCGTTGTAGTCCCCCCTGACCGTGGCCACCATGACCGGACCCAAGCCCACCAACCGTCACCGCTGCCGCCGGTGCCGCCTGCGCTTTGCCCAATTCCTTCATCATGACCTTGTTGGCGTATGCCGCGCGAACAACGTTTTCCACCTTCGCTCGGGAAATGGTGGGGTCGGCCAGGATGGACTTGCGTTCGATATCGTACTCGTGCGCAAGCTGGCGGACAATGATGTGCACGATAGCCCGCTCAGATTTTTCGATGCCGACAGCTTTCATGATGTTGATCACTCCGTCTACTCTGGCGAAGAAGAGTTTCGGGTCCTCGCCGGGATGCATCTCAATCGTCTCAAGTCGCCTCACAAGCAACGTCTTCTCAGCGTCAAGAGTAGGCAACAGCCATTCGTGGATCACGCTCCACGCCTCAGGGACGCAGTCGCAAGCACCCAACCGTTCTTCAATGTCCGTGCCGCAGGTTGCTTCCAACATGTACCCCCACGCCCGCTGGTGAGCTGCCACCAGATGTGCACCGTGAGTCTGGTTCAGGTATGTGCGATCCAGACAACTGATAACGTTGACATAACCAGTAGATGGCATGTGGTCAAGGGTTCGCTCCAAATCCTCGACAGCCAGGAAATTCCGCATTCTCCGAAGCCAGCTCACGGCCTTCGTCGAATTCGTCGGGATTTTGGGCGGGTTGCGACTGCTGCTGTAGCCGCTCAAAGCACGATTTCCGTCAGTTTTTATGCTCACCCGTTGTGTACCGAGCCCAGCTCCACCAGCTGCCCCGGCAGTCGTTCTTCCGGCAGCCATTGCTCCTGCCGGTGCATCGTTCTTCTCCCTTAGATGCCCATATTCCATCTCCGTCCAGTCCTTCTCCCACATGTTCTTACTCCGNTGCCCTTGTATTCCAAACTCTGCGGATCTCCTCGGCGACGCGCGCGGGTCCTCCCTGCTGCTGCCGCCGCCCTTGTCTTCCGGTGCCTACCTCCCGAACCTTTCCCAACCGACGTCTGCAGACTCACGGTATCGTGTTTGTGGTGTCGGCGCGTGTGCTATGTTATCACGCTCGCGGGCTCTTGTCGAGAGCGTTTGTGCACAAAGGATTGACTCAAGTTCCTTGATTATCAACGAGTGACAAGCATGAGCAGCAGGCGAGAAGGACCTGCTGCTGCACACACGTCTGCATATACCCAAACCTATCATATATGCGTACCCCCTCGGATATCTCGGAGATCTGTATCCTGCCGAGTACATACACAAACAATGGTGGTGGAGTAGATTCTGTTGTGCGGAGTCGAGAACCCTCATTTCGCGCAAAGGGGATATTCGCACTACGTTGTGTTGAAGTGGTCAAGCACCCTCGAGGCAGTTACACAGTGCTTACAATTGTCTCTGGAAGTGGAAGCGCCAGAAAATATATTAAGTCATACTCAGCTGTCACCCGTATGCAAGGAAGTAAGCACAAGGTGCCGAACACCCTTAGCAGGATGCAGCGCACCCTCCATGCGACTCGCCGAATACCTCACGTCGCTTCGCGCTTGGTGATGTGAGAGCCTGGTCCGATGCGAACCCGGTGTGCTCCATCCCGGCTTTGTAGGGATGCGAGGTCAATGGTCTAACGACGACTACGGCATGCACCACTATGAGTTCACCGCCCCCCCCCCCCCCCCCCCCCCCCCCCCCCCCCCCCCCCCCCCCTGGCCAAGGGTCCAACGACGGCTTAAGGTATGCAAACCATGAGTGCCCCCCGCACCCCTCCACCTCATTTCACAACAGCAGTCTCAGCAACAACAACGAACGCCGTCATGACCGTGGCCCAGCTGCAGCACCGCTTCGCGAGCGGCCTCCCGCGGAACCGCGTCGGCGTCTGCACCGCCCTCGCCGGCACCGGGAACCTCGACCTCCTCGCTGCCGCGAGGAGGTCGGGCTGCCCCTGGAGCCACCGCACGGCAGCGGCGGCGGCGGAGGGAGGGCACCTGCACGTGCTGCAGTGGGCGAGGGCCGAGGAGAACGGTCGTTGCCCCTGGCACGCGAATACCGCTATGGCTGCGGCGGGGGGGGGACACCTGCGGGTGCTCGTCTGGCTGCGGGAGAACGGGTGCGACTGGGACGAGTACACCTGCCGCAAGGCCGCTTCGGGAGGACACCTCGAGGTAAAACGGCATCAATATGTACAACAAGAGAGAAGTTGTGTCGGGGAGGCTGTTGTAGCAGAGCCTCTGGTGTTGCTCGTAGGGATAGGGTTAGGGTTATTGGGCGTAGCTGTCGGGCAACCAACCAGTGTGTGCGGGTTATCTCGTCCAGCTTCAGAAAGAGACAGGTTTCCAAGTTTTTTTTTGTGTTTTACGAGGAATCCGTGAGACCTTGAAATGATCCTGTCAACTTTCCGGGATCGACAACATGCGATTTGCGCTCGCTCACGCGGGGCGAAGATTTTGACGCAAAAAAAAAGTGCTGAAATGCGGCTGGAATGTCTTGTCTTCGAAAAGGTCATTCAATGGGCGAGGGCGAGCGGCTGCGCGTGGAGCGAGGCCACGTGCAGCAGGGCGGCGAGGGGAGGACACCTCAACGTTTTAAAGTGGGCGAGAGAGCACGGATGCCCCTGGGATGCATCGACGTGCATGGCTGCCGCCGAAGGTGAGAATTTATCGAAGACAACATAACCGGCATCGAGGTTTTGCAACAATCACAACCTGGCAAGGGTTGGGTTGGGAGGTCGGGAGCCCGGGATCGCGACCTTGAACAATTTGTAGTCTATATTATGCTGCCAGCCCACCGTGTCAGTTGGAATGAAAACAACACCGCTTTACGACACGTGGGATTAACCGCTCACTTCGGGTTGTAACCTCCCCCCCCCCCAGGTTGTAATCGTTACCACAACCTGACATTTGGCTACCAGGGTAGTCTATCAGGAAGGCAACCTACCAGGAGGAAAGCGTTTGCCGACAGAAGAAGATGGAGATTTGGGGTTTGACTCTACCATTACGGGAGATATTCCCGAACCATAACCACAGATACCCGCGCGAGCGCAGAAAACAGTCGTGCACGAGACCCAGCAGCAAGTGTCCTAGTCCAGAAAAACACTCCCAGCAAAGCACCCACCCGCCATATCATCCCTTCATTCCTCGCACGCCTTCGCTTCAGGCGGCCACCTTGACGTCTTGCAGTGGGCGAGAGAGCAGGACTGCCCGTGGGACGCGCGCGTCTGCCGAGCTGCGGCGCAGGGCGGGCACCTCCACGTGCTAAAGTGGGCCCGAGAGAAGGGCTGCGCCTGGGACAAACAGGCCTGCGCGGGGGCCGCCCGGTGGGGGCACCTGGGCGTCTTGAGGTGGCTGAGGTCGCAGGACTGCCCGTGGGACGAGGACACCTGCACGGCGGCTGCGGAGGGGGGGCGGCTGGGGGTGCTGAAGTGGGCGCGGGCGCACGGGTGCCCCTGGGATGAGAACACGGCTCGGACGGCGGCCATGTGCCGGAGGAGACGGGTGCTCGCATGGTCCCGGGCGAACGGCTGCCCGGAGTAGTATGTGGCCACCAACGAACGATATTCTTTGGAGGCGATACGCAAGTGGTGCGTGCCACTGTGGAGAATTCATTATCCCCAATGTAAGTAGTCTTGGGAGGACAGGTGCCGAGTAGACTTTGCATACGCGTGTGGAGTATTGTTCTGGTGAAGTCAGGTGTTTTTGTAAATCCGCTGGAATGATGTATGAGTGCCGGAATGAAGGTGTTGTTTCGTATGACCGCGAGCTATGTTGGCGTACTTGTTGAACGGGTTTTCTTGTGGAGCGGGGCGACGACCAGCTCCCGCTCACGGATCGGAGAGGTCGATCTTGTATACAGTAAAAATATGAATATGGTAACAGAAACGATGGTGGTGGTCCTTGGTACGCTAAGTTACTCGTGTTGTCCATTGTGCTCTCTGGTATATTTCCAATTTTGTGTTTCAAAGGCATCGATTAAGGTACCCACACATCTGAGAGACTGTACCCCAATCTCTGGACTCAGTTTCAGACAGTTGGTGTGCAGGGGTAATAACCTGGCCGTCGCTATTGCGGAACTTGCGGAAGGATGAGCTTACTTAGTCAGTCTGTCGACGCTGCGAGGTGGTCATACCTCCTCTGATGCGGAACAGGCGTAAGCTTACTGCCACCGGTCTGTCCAAGGGCGCACGAGGGGGTGTCGATACCAAGCCTCGGGTTGGTTCAACATTGAACGTAACAACACGCCGAACGGAGGCTGACAGTCCCCCAACACGCTGTGCGGCAGCTTCAACGCTGCTAGTGACCAGGAAAGGCTCATGCGTGAAAGTGCATCGATAGCCCGCTCATAGAAATCGCTTAAACCGAATTATTGCTGTAACAGCGTAGGACGCTGGCGTCTGCATTGCTTGCTGTTAGCTGGGGCGGGATGAAGTACTGCTGTCAGTCCTTGCTCTTCAGCGTCCTCGCGGTTGGTATAGCCGTGACTGTGGGCCCCCTCTTTCCCAGCCTGGAACCCAACAAAGCATACGAGGAGCACGTTGAAGCTCAAGTCTACACGCAACCCGGCTGATGAACATGGTGCAGATGCCTGCATATCGAACGAGGTCGGCATCTCTGTGTGTTCGTTCCCAGATTTTCATCGCGACACGTGCGGACCACGAGTGGAACCCGTTGAAATCAGGCAAAGAGGCGATGCCTACAACCCGCCCCCCCCCCCCCCCCCCCCCCC